GACGCTTCCACAAATAAGCGTCAAAATTTTTAGATGAAATATTGATTTTTAAAGCACAAAATTTTTAGATGAAATAAAGGGGAAAAAAAAAAACTTTGATTTTAAGTACAAAGTATGGACGACAGTCCTTCTAATGAGGATGGTCATCCATATACAATGAACGGACATCCAAATGAGATGAACTGGCGTCCATACTCAAATAATTTTTTTTTTTTAAATTAACAATTTTTTTTTCATTTATAAAAAAATGCAAAGCAAGAGAGAAATGAAACTTGTTTTTTAAAACCTATTTTGGGAGGCCTAAATTTTTAAACATTCTAATTGAAAATTTTAAAGAAATTTTTTTATTAAACTAGAATTTGGGTGTGGACGGCCGCCCATCTTATACGGACGACTGTCCATTGTATATGGATGTCCGTCCATTATTTGTTTTTAAACTTTTCTAGTATGGACACTCATCCATATTATATGGACGGGAGTCCATTGATATTGTTAGAGCTGGACCGGGCCCAAAAGCCCAGCATCAAAACCCGGTCCTAGGAGGCCTGGTCCCAAAACTGGACCAGGCCTAAGGAGGAGGGCCCAGGCCCAGGCTTGGGCCCAAAATTTTTTTGCATTTTATCATTTTAGTCCTTTGTAAAATTACATTAAATCCCTTAAATAAGTATAAATTATTAGGACTAAACTAAAATTTTATAAATTTTATTAAAAAAAAAAATTTAACTTCTTATAACCGTTGTCTGCCAACAGTCACAAGAGCAGCCAACGGTTATAAACTTATAATTATTTATTAATTATGAGTTTTTTTTTCATTTTCCCCCCCACAACTANTGGTAAAATAAAAATTATTAACTTATCACACTGACTAATTGATGAAGTTGGTGATAACCTGCTAGAAATGGGACAAATTCTGACTGAAAGTTCAAGTTGCATTTTGGAGCCAAAGTTTCTGTTTTTGTTTTGTTAGGCTGCAGTAGTTGGTGCAGCAGATTTTAAGGCAATCAAGCGTAGTTTATTTGACATGTTTTGTTGAGATTAAGACTTGATTTTGTATATGCATTAGTTGAAATTCAAATGTATTATTTTTATTTTAATGCAGTAGGTAAAACAGTGTAACTCTTGTATAAAAGTTTCAACTCAGTGAATGAAGTTTGTAGTGTGATAAACTCTCATTTGTTGATGTCTCTTTCCCTTACAAATTTTCTCATTTTTACTTTGATCATTTCTTCCTCTGAACCAACAAATGGTATCAGAGCTCTACTGATATTAAAGGCCTGATAAACTCATCTCTTCTCACTCACTTTCTCAACCTCTGTTACGCTGAAATTAGCTATTAAGTTCACACAGCCTGACTCAATGGCACAACACACAATCTCCCTTACTCCTCCAACCTTCAATGGGGATCAATATCACATTTGGGTTGTCAAAATGAAAACCTTCCTAAGAGGACAAGGATTATTGCAGTATGTTGAAGAGGATAAACAACCACCAGTATTGGGGCCAAACCCCACCCTGAACTAGATCAGATTACACAATGAAGAAGCCACCAAATTACCTAGAGCCTTGTCTCATATCCATGTAGCAGTAACTGAGCAAGTGTTCACTAGAATCATGACATATGAGACAGCCAAGGAAGCATGAGATAAATTCAAAGAGGAGTTCGGTGGCAGTGATACAACAAAGAATATGCAGGTGTTGAAATTAAGAGGGAGTTTGAAATGTTGAAAATGCAGGAGTCAGAATCGGTAAAGGAATATGTGGATAGGTTGATGAATGTAGTGAATAAAATCAGATTAATGGGAGAGGACATGATAGATAAAAGGATAGTGGAAAAGGTTCTTGTTAGCCTACCCGAAAGGTTTGAATCTAAGATATCCTCACTTGGGGATTCTAAGGATTTGACACAAATCACTCTCACTGATTTAGTGTATGCCTTCTCAAGAGCAAAGGAGATTGTTGAGGGAAGAGGACTCTAGTGAGGGTGCAATGGTGGCGGGATTCAAAGGCAAACCAAGCCAGGGTGGAAGCAAGAGGCCTGCGGGAGAAAAGAAAGGAAATGAGAGGATGGCAAACTAGTGGAGCAATTCGACTCGAGTGAGAGAGTTTCCACCATGTGCTTACTGCAAGAAGAAGGGGCATGGTGAAAAAAGGTGCTAGTTTAAGCCTAAAATTCAATGTAGAGCATGCAAAAAATATGGTCACATTGAAAAGGTGTGCAAAAACAAACCAAATCAATCAACACAGCAAGCACAGATTGTGGAGGACCAGTAGCCAAACTCAGATTCAGAGCAACTGTTCATGGCTTCATGCTGTGCAGTTCAAGCTCACAATGATGATTGACTGAGAGACAGTGGGTGCACCAATCATATGACAGCAAACCTGGAGGACTTTGTGAATTTGGACAAGTCTTACCATTCCAAAATCAAAGTTAGAAATGGGGAGTTTGTGGCTGTGAAAGGGAGAGGAGATATTGCTGTGCAAACAAAAACAGGTATCAAACTCATTCCCAATGTCTTGTATGTGCCTAATATGAGCCATAACCTGTTGAGTGTTGGACAAATGATAGAAAGGAAGTATGCCCTGCACTTCCAGGATCAGTTTTGCACAATCCTGGACAGTGAAGGCAATGAGTTGATGAGGGTTAGAATGATGGGAAAAAGCTTCCCTATTAGGCTGAAAAAACCAGAACCAGAAGCATATGTTGTTGATGTGGATGAGTCAGAATTGTGGCATAAAAGATTAGGCCATTTCAATTATCATAGCCTTGGGGAAATTCAAACCAAAGAATTGGTCTGTGATCTGCCTGAAATTGCAGAAACCAAAACCATATGTGCTACCTGTCAACTTGGCAAAATGAGTAGATTACATTCCCTGTAAACAAAGCCTGGAGAGCTGCTGAGAGGCTGCAGCTTATCCACACGGATGTGTGTGGACCTATGCAAACACCATCCCTAAATGGAAGCAAATATTTTATCCTTTTCATTAATGATTACTCCCGGATGTGCTGGGTTTATTTTTTGAAACTAAAGAGTGAAGTTGCAGTGGTGTTTGAGAGGTTTAAACTGCAAGTTGAAAAAAAATCATGTCTGAGTATTGAATCTGTCAGAAGTGACAATGGGAGTGAGTATATCTCCACTGAATTTGGAAAAATCTGCATAAAAGCTGGAATTGTTCACCACTTCAATTGTCCCTATACTCCACAGCGAAATGGAGTCAGTGAGAGGAAGAATAGGACTGTCATGGAGATGGCAAGGTGCATGGTTGCAGAGAAGAAGCTGCCCAAATCCTTTTGGGCAGAAGCTATAAATACAGGGGTCTATTTACTTAATAGACTCCCTACTAAAGCTTTAACTAATCAAACACCCTATGAGGCCTGGTATGGAATGAAGCCTTCTATTAAAAACCTGAAAATCTTTGGGACTGTGTGTTATGCACTCATTCTAGCAGTTAAAAGAAGTAAGCTAGATGAGAAGGCTATGACAAGGATTTTTATAGGGTACAGTAAACAGTCCAATGCCTATAGAATTTATGATCCAGCAACCAGGAAAATACACATCACTAGGGATGTGAAGGTGGATGAAAAAGGGATCTAAAATTGGAAGAAAAATGAAGCTGAAGAAGACAGAAGAGAGCAGATTGCAAATACAATAGCAGGCAAATTTGATGATCCAAAAGAGGCAGATTTGGATGATGATTTTCTAGTTAGGGGTGCAAGGTCTCTGGCAGAGGTTTATGAGAGATGCAATGCAGCCTTGCTTGAGTGTGAAAATTTCAGGGAGGCTACTAAGTCAGAGGTCTGGAGGAATGCAATGGAGAAGGAGATAAAAATGATTGAAAAGAATGGCACATGGGAATTAGTTGACAGACCAACAACTAGAAGAGTAATCTAAGTAAAATGGATCTATAAAAAAAAAGCTGAGGCCTGATAGATCAGTGTACAAACATAAAGCAAGATTAGTTGTTAATGGTTTTGCTCAACAATTTGGAGTGGATTTTTCGGATACTTTTGCACCTGTGGCTAGACATGATACTATAAGGCTTCTCCTTGCCTTGGCAGCCCAATTTGAGTGGAGAATCTACCAATTAGATGTCAAATCTTCCTTCCTAAATGGTTGGCTCAATTAGGAAATTTATGTGGAACAACCGGAGGGATATGAAGTGGAAGGGCAGGAGCATAAGGTGTATTCGCTGAGAAAGGCCCTATATGGCCTGAAACAGGCTCCTAGAGCCTAGTACAGCAGAATTAATGAGTATTTGATCAGCTTAGGATATGCACGGAGCGCTAATGAACATACTTTATATGTGAGAAGGCTGGAAAGTGAATTCACCAGAGTTTCATTGTATGTTGACGATTTACTCATCATGGAGAGCAGCTTAACTCAACTTGATGATTTCAAAACAGCCATGCACAATGAATTTGAGATAACTGACCTTGGGGAAATGTCCTACTTTCTTGGGATGGAAATCCACCAAAGTCACCATGGCATATTTGTTAATCAAAGGAGGTTTGCCAATGAAATTCTGCATAAGTTTAACATGGACAGATGCAAATCAGTGGACACTTCGCTGGTTGTGAATTTGAAGCTGAGCAAGGATGATGGGGCCGAGAAGGTTGATGAAAAATTGTATAGAAGCATCATTGGTTGCCTTCTGTACTTGACTGCCACCAGACCAGATTTAATGTTTGCAACCAGTATTCTCTCTAGATTCATGACTAGCCCGAGTGAAATCCATCTCAAGGCAGCCAAGAGGGTGCTAAGGTATGTTAAGGGAAGTGATGAGCTTGGAATATGGTTGAAGAAGACTGAAAACCTGCAGCTTATTGGTTACTCAGATAGTGATTGGGCTGGATGCATTGATGATATTAGGAGTACATTAAGTTATGTTTTCTTCTTAAATTCAGGGGCCATATGCTGGCATTCCAAGAAGCAAGACACCACAGCTCAGTCCACGGTAGAAGCATAATACATTTCTGCTGCTGCCGTGGTTAACCAGGCTATATGGCTAAGGAAGATTATGCAGGATTTGAGGCAAATTCAAGAAGACCCTACTGTGATCTTTGTGACAATCAGTCAGCAGTTGCAATGGCAAAGAATCCAATCTTACACGGCAGAACAAAACACATCAAAATCAAATTTCATGCTGTGAGAGAAGCAGAGAGTAATGCTGAAGTGAAATTAGTCCACTGCAGAGGTGAAGAACAAATTGTGGATATCATGACCAAGGGTTTACCTAAAACCAAGTTTTTGGTGTTTCCAGCAAGATTATCAAGGAGGAGTGATGAAGTTGGTGATAACCTGCTGGAAATGGGATAAATTCCGACTAAAAGTTCAAGTTGCATTTTGGAGCCAAAGTTTTTGTTTTTGTTTTGTTAGGCTGCAGTAGTTGGTGCAGCAGATTTTAAGGCAATCAAACTTAGTTTATTTGACATGTTTTGTTGAGATTAAGACTTGATTTGGTATATGCATTAGTTGAAATTCAAATGTATTATTTTTATTGTAATGCAGTAGGTAAAAACAGTGTAACTCTTGTATAAAAGTTTCAGCTCAGTGAATGAAGTTTGTAGTGTGATAAACTCTCATTTGTTGCCGTCTCTTTCCCTTACAAATTTTCTCATTTTTACTCTGATCATTTCTTCCTCTGAACCAACACTAATTAACTGACAACAAACTTTCTTTTCTTCTTTCTTTTAGGATCTTAACATACATGGCCGGGTATATTTGAATGAACAAGGTATTAATGCACAGGTATATTTTTCTTTCTCACAATCATATCTGTCAAAGTTCATTTAGCTTTCTTCTTCCTCTTCTCTTTTGATAGCTGGCGTCCATAGTCCTCCATGTGCAATGTTGGGTCAGACTAGTCATGTGGATGTGTATATATTTGCTTGTGTTTCCATGGGTGCATTGGGTCTCCATTTTGTTCATAATGCTGAGGAACTTTGCCTGCATTAGTGAATCATCTTGTTATTTGCATCATGATTTTCTCCTCTTTTTCAACCATTGCAATGATTGATCACAATGTTGTGTTGGACTTATTTATTTTCTTTGGTTAATTAGAAAAGAAGCCATAGGATGCTAGTACTCTAAGCCTATGAATGTTCGGAAATGCTTTCCTTTTGGAAATAAGGCAAGTATATGAGTTATTGGGTCAATTTTCTTCCAAAAGGAATTTGATTTGGGCTAACCAAGTGCATGCTACAGTTACCATGTTTGTATGATACTTATTATTGGAGTTTAAGCTTAAGTAAAGGTAATGTTAGAACTCATCGAGTCAGGTGGCAACTTCACTAGTCCCCAATGAGTATGATTCAATATGGGCTTTTGTATTTGTATGAGTCCTCATATTGCTTGATTTATGACTGAATTATGCTACACTCTTTTCTGTTCGATAAATGAAAACTTCAGTAAAAGAATAATTGCTAAAAGAATCAACTATGATATTATTGATTAGGTAAATTGACTGACACATGGATGTTACAGAACTTTGTTGATTGATGCAACTTGAATTCTATCTCATTAGTTGAAAAGGTAAATTGTAACTTTTAATTTTGGCCTTAGCCTCTATCTGTTTTTTGAGGCAAATCTTGCTGGGAACTAGTTCTTATGAAAATTTGTGGAACTGATGTACTTCTTTCCTGTATATGTAATTCTAAATCACCATGTTAGAGTGTTAACTTCAGAGCAGTGGGGGCCATAATAAATAAAGCTGATGATTATCTATCTCTGTGACTTATTAATCTTTTGCACATCTGCCTTAATATTTCCTCTATTTGCTTCATCTTTCTGCAGTACAGTGGGCCATCAAAAGATGCTCTTGGCTATGTAGAATGGTTAAAAAAAGATGAACGATTTTCTGATAGACTGGTTCAGATATCTCCAGCTTTAAATGGGCATGCCTTTCCAAAACTGAAGCTGCGGTATAAGCCTTCTCTTGTACTGGCAAGCTATATATTTCTGCATATTTCTATTTGTTATTCAACATCATTGTATTCTGCACAGATTATCTTCCTTTAGTGATCATTTATTTATCTAGTATTGCCACCCTCAAATTTGTTGATTTGCCATTGTGCTATATAATTTTTACAGTCGTTGTAAACTATATTATAAATTGATTTTTTTTTCATGATGATAGCACAATTTGTTTCTTGAGTCAATTACATGCTCTTATGAAATATTTTAATCTAAATTTTCAGTGCATTTTATTTCTAATTTGTAATTATTTTTTTGTGTATTGACCATCATATGATTTATTTTTCTTTACCCATAAAGATTTTTCAGTGACACATATAATTCACAGCTTCTCCTCACTTTTAAAGTTCGAATTCTTTTAGTGTTGTGTTTATGATATACATGCATGTGTATGTATTTATGTGTTTTAACTAGTAATTGATTTATTTTCTGCAGTTGGAAGGAGGTATTTCACATCTTCCTTTGCTTGACCCCTCAATGTGTGCAACACCACTAGCACCATCTGAATGGAGAAAGAGATTGGAAGCAGTAAAGGACAGTGATGAAGCATCAAATTCAAATCTTAAAACCAACTTGATTCTGTTGGATGTGAGAAATGGTACTTACTTCTAGTGCTGCCTGTATGTTTTCGCATCTATCGTATTTGTTGGGAGTTAGGTGTATGTTTCAAATTTTTCAAAAAGCCTCTGAAGTATAGTAGACCTAGCAGTATCAAATGTTATAACCAATATGGTATGCTTTAGGATAGACATAGTTAAAATGCACATTGAATCAGTTGAATGATGATGATGCTATTCCTGTTTCCCTTAAGTGCTGTAGTTTGCACCATTTGAGGAAGCAATCACATCCTAACCAATATAAACCAAATATCTTGTCTTCTCTTTTTCCCTGTTTCTGCCTCTTCTCTCTCTGTTCTTCTCTCTTGCTCTCTTTTCCTGATTTTTCTAGTTTCTTTCACCTTCCTGCTAGAAAAATTGAAGATTTTGTAATAACTTTTAATCAGGTTATGAATGGGATATTGGTCATTTTGAGGGTGCAAGACGACCTGATGTGGACTGCTTTAGAAGCATTTCATTTGGGCAATCTCAAAGTGAGGTATTGTCAATCTTTATATGCTAGGTATTACTGCAGCACGCCTAAACTTTGTTTAAGAACTTGTATAATTCAGTTGTGCTGCAGGGTGCATTGTTCCATTAAAACTAGGAAGTTTATATACTGGTATCTGTAAGGTTGACTTATAAATTAACAAAAGTTAATAAATATTACCAAAATATCCTTTTATCGTTTATAAAATCCGAGATTACAAACTATGCTGATTCAAACAGCACAACATAAACAAATGGCACAAACAATATAAATTCACTTCATTATTACAGCTATGATAATATGCCAGATATTTAGGAGTTGATATATTTTCATCTGATCAGATCTTAGGTTGTTTCAAGCTTCCCGGATGAAGTTTCCTCTGTTTGCCGCACTCGATAAGCTGCCGTTCTTCGACACATAAACAGGATGTAACAAAATAAGGTAAAACTGTAGTTGGAAGCATTAAACCAAAGAAAAGAAGCTTTTCAAAATAGTTGGTCGGAGTGGTATCTAGCACTGCAAAGAAATATGCAAATACCATCAAACTTGTAGGTACGTCAATCATTCTCGAAATACGGAGCCCTATTGTGACAACAATAATTGTGTACACAGACAGACAAAAGGCCCCAGAATTAAATAAGAAGAACGAAAGGTGAAATCTAGACCAACTAATGATCATTCCCCTGCCAAATGTTCAACAATTGCGATGGTGCCGTTGGTGTTATTGTTGATATTTTTATTAAACTTATGGTATGATGTATACAGGATGTTATGTGTTTGCACACTTATGTTAGACATATGCATGTTACAATTTATTTTGTATTTTATTTCGAAAACTGGATTGGACCTTGACTCAGTCAAGAGTCTGATTCCCGGTTTAATCGGTTGGTTGGACCGTTGACATCATTAAAAAAAATAATTTATTGAATACATAAAAAACTTCAATCTTTTTCATCATCTCCTTCTCACTCCTTTTCTTCACCATTCCTCTTTCTTTAATTAATTTATTTTCATTACATATTCCCAAATCTCAAGTCCTAACACTTTTCAATTTCAAATCTCCCTTCTCCAGCCGCCTCTTTCATCAGCAAAAAACCTCTTCTTAGGGGGTGTTTGTCTAAGCTTATGAAAATTTGCTTATAAGCTAATTTTAGTTTCTAAACATTTAAAATTTTAAGCAATTACGTGTTTGGTTAAAATATTTATAAGTGACTGATAAGTAGTTGACGTACTTGGTAAAATGTAGCTTATAAGTACATTTTATTATAAAATAACTAAAAAGGGTTCTATATTATTTTATCAAATAATAAACTATATTAACTTAATTTTTTACTATAATATTATCAAAATAAATGAGTAATATCCCAAGTTTTTATATTCTTTATACCAAATAAACTAATGAACAAATATAATGAATTATAATTATATTCAAAAAAATAAAATTTCAATCAAAATATTCGATTCATGTCTCAATTGAATCATATTAATCCATTCAAATTACATATGAGAATAACTATACGGTACAAATTTCAGTTGCAATCAAATCACGCATAGCCATCCAATAAGCAGTATTTTCACCATTGGTAAAATAATCATCATTGGTAAAAGCATTATCTCCATCCGACGAGGGTGCTCCTTCTCCATCTAATGAAGACATATATGTTTCATTCTCAGCTACTTGAAAAGCCATGTCTGGTGTGTTCTTTTTTCTAATGTAGTAGTGGATTGCCATAGTCGCAAGCACAATATCTCATTGTGTGTCAATATGGAAGGTAGGCATATCTCTCAAAATAGACCAACGTGCTTTCCACACACCAAAAGTTCGTTTAACAATATTTCTGCACGACGAATGTAGATAATTGAATTTTTCTTTCTTTCCAGTTGGTGCACGTAATTGCCTTGTTCGAGCACGTCGAAAATCTTCCAAGTAATATCTTACATTTTCTCCTTTGTATGGACTCATATATCCCCACGTATGGGGATACCTAGCATCTACCAAATAATTTTGTTGCCCGTTGGATGGGGAAATCTTAACTCTTCTCTGCGGAGTGCCTCAGAAAATATGCGACAATCATGTGGAGCACCTTCCCATCCAGCCCATGCAAATGTAAAACACATTAAAATCTACTACTGCAAGAATATTTTGAGTAGGATACCCTTTACGTCCAATGTAAGGTATTTCTTCCCCCCGAGGCAATTTAGCTTTCACATGTGTGCCATCTAATGCTCCAATACAATCCTATTAACATGACAAAATATAAAAATTAATACTTCATACAATTATAATCATGAATCAAATTAATAATAATAGTTTGAAAAAATATATATTGCGTAATAATCGTTACTTACATCGAAAGGTTTGTACTTTGTATTTTGTGGTTTGTGAAATCCCTTTCCTCGATTGTATTGTGGATGTGGTCTAATAATATCTTTAGCTAAAAGAAGTAAAGCAATCAACACTCTATGGAAATGGTTATGAATGGTTTCACCAGAATGATTAAATATTTCTTGAATCAATCTATTCCCGCAATTGTGAGCACAAATCATCAAGAATATGCCTACTTCCTCATATACCGACATCCCTCGTGTGGGCTTCAAACCATATTTATTGGTTAAATCATGACACAAATCAAGGAAGACAGATTTTGTCACGCGAAAATCTTGATAACAACGATTTTCATTCCCTTCCAATATTTCTTGGATCAACATGTGACCAGTTCTTATAGAAGTACGACATGGGATTTTATCAATGTAATTTATATAATATAAAATAATGCACTTAACTGTGATTTCACAAATAGGCATCCAACTACGATTTTGTTCTTCCCATTGACTCACCAAAGCTTGTAATTCATCCTCTTTATTGCCATGGCCATCAACCACAAAATTGTAATGAGTAGAAACCAAATTTGAAATATCCCACGGCTCCATTAAACTAAAAAATGAAAAAAATAATAGTCAAATATATGTCTTTAATACCAAAAAATAGAAAATAATAACAAATATATTCATCGCAATGGTCACTCATCACAATTATCCAAACAAAATTTCAACACTTAAAAAGCATAATTTCAGCTCAATTAAACTCTAAAACCTTCACTTCAATGTGCAAGTCAAAATCAAGCAAATGGGTTATTGATAGAGACAACAGATGAAGAAAATAGGCGAAATAGTAATAAGGAACGGGACTACTGCTCAAAATATTATATTATTTGTAATAGAGTATGAGCATTACTTATAGAGACAACAGATGAAGAAAATAGGCGAAATAGTAATAAGGAACAGGGGACTACTGCTCTTTCTTGTCAATTATTGCGGTTTTAATCACATGATTCATTGACTGTACTATTATAGGCCCACAAAGCTTGAGGAATTGGGTGCTGCAGGAAGCAAATTACTTAATGGGTATCAGCAAGGACTTGGTGCGTTAATTATACATTAATACTCTTTTTCTTCTTATTTTATGTATTCCGTGATAGAATTTCTTCGACGACCTCCTATTGACAAAACATCTAAGCTGATTGAGAATATTGTTAAAGGTTTAAAGCTAATGAAACCCAGAGAGTTCAACGTGCAACTCAAAATCAAGCAAATAGGTCATATCAAATCACTGCAAAAATCACACAAGGGAACAGAGACAGCAATATATTAAATTAAACAAAAAGCTCTAAACCCTAAATTCCACCATTAAACTAGAAAATTACAAGAACAAAATCTCAAATTTAAAAAAAAAAAAAATTATTTACCTTGATGAAGAGAGAGCAGTGAACCCTAAACCCTTTGTGGAAGGAGATTTTTGCTTCACAGAATACAAACAGATAGTAATATGACCTATTTCAAATATAAAAACAAGGGTATACTATGGAATTTTAAAATTAAACAAGGATAAGATGGTAATATACTTGGTCAAACTAGCTTATAAGCAGAGTACTTATAAGCCCAAAAAAATAAAAAGTACCTCCCCCCCAACTTATTTTTTTTTTTGGCTTATAAGCTTGACTTATAAGCTCAAAAAAGTTGTAAACAAACGGGTTAGCTAAATTTTAGAGCTTATAAGCAAGTTTGACCAACTTATAATCTTAAACAAACACCCCCTTATTCTCTCACCTTTTCTCCACCACTCCTTCTTCTTCTCTCTCATTAATTAATTTATTTCTTTCTTTACATATCCCAACACTTTTCAATTTCAAATATCCAAGCTTTCCCTTTTATCAATAAGCAAAAATAAAAAAAACAACAATTGTCAATTAATTTTCACGAGGAAGACTGAAGAACATAGAGAGAAGCGAGGAAGAAATGAAAATAGAATCAATGGGAGAAGGAAACCAAGGAAAGCGCATGGATAAAAAGGTGAGGGGAAAGTTGGGGATCATTTTACAGATTTGATGGCTTCTCTTTTATCAATCGATAAAAACAAAAAAACAGTAATTAGTTTTCACAGGGAAGACTGAAAGCAGCGAAAGGAGAGGGAAGTGAGGAAGAAATGAAAATAGAATCCATGGGAGAAAGAAGCTAGGGGAATGTAAACGCTAAAATTTACAATCAAGTTGAAGATTGAATCTTGGCAAGCGAGACATTGACAACCTTAGTAGACCTGTAGGATGCCTCCTAGCGTCTCTCAGGGAGTCCAAGCAATGCTAGGGGATTGAGGTAGATTATGGGTTTGGTGATATGAGCAATAGGGTTTTCTAATGATCTTTTCTTCCTTATAGATGGGCTGACCTTAGTTTATATAGTGAACTGTGGGGGCTCTAATCCTATTAGGACTTTGAGTCCTATTTGCTAAGGGAACTCTCTTTTCGAGAAGAGATTGTATTCTTTGCCTCTATCTATCGAGGGTTTGTCGGTTGAGGAGTTTGGTTAGGATTATGATCTTTGTTATGGACTACTGCGGGCGAATAGGTTGGACCCAGATCAGCTTAACTTAAGGGATGACCCAACTCATAGAGCAGGCAGTTCCCAAGGTGTTCTAAGTATGGGTCTAATCGAGATTGGGCCAAGGCTCTAGGCCGTCATTCATTACTGTTGCGGTTGGACCTCATCAAGTCCAATACGAATTTTGGCCCATACAGTTTGTCCTCCACTCTCTTAAGCTTTTTAGAGTAGAATCGATTATCTGCGTACGGGAGGTGGGTAGGCCATGGTTCTTCAGCGAGTTGCTTGGTCGTCAAGGCATCATTGGAACGCTCATGAATCGGCTCGATTCGATTTGCTGAGCCGAACTAAAAGGACAATGTAGGGATTGTGGTTATAAAGCTCAAGCCTGCTTGGCTTGTCTAGGTTCAGCTCGCGAAAGGGTATCTAACTGGGCCAGATGTTCATTGCTGGGGTCGTTTCTGCATGCTTAATAGATGTTAAGCTAGCTAGCCAGGGCTGGGGATTAATTCAGCCAACTGGATGCACGTCGACAACTTTGACAAGGCTTACCAGGATGTCACCGATCTTCCTATGTGACAGCATGGATCCTCGTCGTGCGGTAGAGGGGTCTTGCCAAGACTAGCATAATTGGTTCGGCTTAGAGGGACTAAGAGGGGCTCGAGTTGGCGCGGCTCAGGCGTGTGAGCCTCTTGCTTGATGTAAGCCACGTGCAAATTCAAGAGGCGGGAAATGAAAAGTCTCTGGACTCTAGCTGCCAATGAGATGGCGCCACTTGTCCCCTGTCAGTTTTGGGTATTTTTTAAAGGCGGTGACCCTTCGTTCCTGCCATTCTTTGCGTTCAAGTTCATTTAGTAGAGAGAGAATATCGACTTCGCTTATTTCCTTTGGGAGTTTCGCGTTTTTTGCTCTTTTGTCTTTCTTCTTGATTTTTCATTGTTTTTGTGTCAAAAAAGGTGAGGAAAAGAGGGTTTAGGATACTATTTTGGGGGTTCTAGCTTGTTTTCTGTTCGAAATCCTGCATTTCTTCGAGAGAAGGTGGTTTTTGGGAATTTCGGGTTGGTATCTGGTGAAACGGGGTGATTTTCTGGCTAGGTCTAAGAGGGATACGTAGTGAGAGGGGCTTTATTTGGTTCGGATCAGGATCTAAGCCGAGTAGGGTCGATCACCGGGGTACTTAGATGGTGTCGAGGTGGATGAAGATCGAAGTCCATGAAGCAAAGCAGTGATATCTGAAAGGAACGAATATAAGGGCACACCTACCATGGGGATGACGTCGGAAGGCAATGAAATGGCTCCATCCAGAGGGGTGAGTGTCGCCTTTCGTCCTGGCGATGAGCCGAGTAGGTATAACGTAGAACCAAGTGATGATAAGTCGACGAAGGGTTTAGCGATAAGTTAGAGCTGGGGGACGCCACCAACATGGGCTGTGCTGATGGTAGTGAGGTGCTGTCGACCAGTGGTGCTGGTGGAGATGAGCAGAGTCGACCCGGTGTGGGAATGTTGGCCGACAATCCTCCATCACGGATTGAGCTGGTGGAACTATCGAAGCTTCGGTATCTGTACAAGATTCCAGGTTTGATAGAGATGAGGGTGCCGAGCCAGTTCAAAAGAGTCGACTAGTCTGTGCCAGGCTGGATAACCATCTATGAGTAGACCTTGGTGGAGAGGATGTGTTTCCCCATTCCCTAACTAGTTCATGAAGTGTTGAGTCGCTACGACATCTCTCCAAGTTAGTTGATGTCGAATGTCTAACGGTTGCTCATGTCGATAGAATGTTTGGGCGCTTAGCTAGGAGTGGAGTTTAGGGCAATGGATCTGCTCCTTTTGTATTACCTGAAGAAGCATGATAAGCATGATAAGGGGAGAAGTGTTAAGCAAGGCGAATCTGCGGAGAAGTCCTTTATGGAGTTAGGTTCTCGAGGTACAGGAAGGTATACTTGTTCTGCTCAAGCATCTGTTGCTTTACGTGTTACTGGCTTGGTATGCAACCTTATCGTATTTGGTAGATCCATACGCCATCCACTAACAGATACGCCATCCACTAACAGTTGAAGAATTATGCCTTGTAGAAGAGAGGATGTCCAGCGAGTTTAAAGTGTCGTCGGTGAAGGAGATAAAGGAGAAATATTGGTCAGAGTCTGCATGGAAACGTAGAAGGATCAAACAAGGTGGGAGCTCGTCGGCTCCAACGAAAATGAATATGGATGATGCTCCCCAGTCGACACAAAAGACACTGTCGACTACTAACTTGGTGGTGTCGGATGACGATAATGTAAAGATAGTTATTCCATCTGATGCTTCGGCCTACTCCGATACATCTTTTATCGGGGCCGTGGTAGACTCCTTCCTTCTTCCCAAAGATGAGCACCAACTCGGGAAGCTTAGCCATCGCAAGCAGTCGAGTAGACAATGGCCTGTCTTTTTCAAGTGACTTATCCATTCTGTTTAGACACTTTTGCCTCAACTTTACTTTATCTAACCTGTTCACTATTTTGTGCTTGCAGGCCTTCTCTAAAAGTGCTCCCTTCCAGAAGTTAATTAACTCGCAGGATCAAAGAAACAAAGAATTAGAGCGGCGCAACAAGGAGCTCAAAGAAGCAGCCTTCGAGCTGGAAAGTAGGCTCCGTGTAGGCCACGAAAGGGAAGCTCGACTAGAGATGAAACACGCGGACTTTGCTCAGCAGCTGCAGAGCACTCGAGTTGAGTAGGAAGCTAAAAGGACCTCCCTCCTCTGCAGGCTAGAAAGCTTCTCTATAGAGGCGGTTTTAAAGACTTACTCAAAGCTCATGGAGGAGTACAAAGCAAGGAAGCAGGGTGAACAGGAGCCGAACGAGGATATAGAGGAGTATAAAGCTTTCCTTGCAAAACGAGGTCTAGACCTGACCCGGACGTCCATGGGGCCCACATCGGGGTGCCAGAAGTTGATGCTGGTGGATTGGCTGGAGTGCCGCCAAAGATAACTAACGATAAAGTGGCATCGAGCGGGCAGCTAACAGGGGATGACTCAAAGCCAAATAGATCTGCCACTAAAGATCTATAAACATTTGTAATGACCGTCTTTCTGGCGTCGAGCGCATCTTTTGTAAGCCCTGAGCGCACTTTCTGTAAGCATTGAGAGCACTTTTTATAAGTGCTGAGGGCACTGAATGTTGTTTTGTTTTAGCCCGTCAGGCGTCAATATAAGAATCACTTAAGTTGCTTTGCTATTGGTCACATTTTTGCCATAGCAAATCCACAAGTCTTAAAAAGATTAAAGAAAGTTAAAAGACATTCTTTTATTAATTAGGTGGTAACAAGATCCATGTTGGAGAAAATAGAAGGCTAACGGAGATGGAAAGGGGGGGGGGGGGGGGGCAGGGTGGACAAGCCCACTCTACCCCACGTTGGAGAGAAGGATGAGCGGTTGGAGCCGAGCCGTCTGACTCCTAAAAATGATAGGTTTTTAAGTGTGCGGCGTTCCAACTATTGGTGATGTTCTTTCCCTTTGGAGTATGTAGTTGGTATGCAGATCAATGCTCAATCTTGTAACTCGTCGATGAGGTCGAGGGTGTGACAAAGTTGTTGGTTGTTGCCATCTTCACCCACCTACTGGAGCCGTGCTGAGTGGCACCCTACTTCTGTGGGGATGATAGCTTCTGAGCTGTATGCCAAAGAAAATGGTGTTTCTCTAGTAGATGACCATGCGGTGGTGCGGTAGGACCACAATACTCCAGGAAGTTCGTCCACCCAAGCGCCCTTCACTTTTCGTAGTCTCTTCTTCAATGTCTGGAGAATGGTTTTATTTGAGGATTCGGCTTGTCCATTAGCCTGGGGTTATCGAGGTGTGGAGAAGCTCAGTTTGATGTTCCATGTCCTGCAAAAGTCTTGAAAGCCCGAACAGATGAATTAGGAGTCGTTGTCTGTGACTATCTCCTTAGGTAGGCCAAATCAGCAAATGATGTTCTTCCAGATGAAGTTTTTCACTTTGTGATCTCTAATTTAGGTGAAGGCTTCCGCTTCTATCCATTTAGTGAAGCAGTCGATGATCGCAAGCATGTACACTCATTGTCCTGACGCGGTGGGTAGCTTTCCGACAATATCCATTCCTCACTTCATGAAGGGCCATGATGTAATTACAAAGCAAAGCCGTTCGGGTGAAAGATGTGATACCTTGGAGAAGCGCTGGCAGCTGTCACACGTCTTTGCATATTTAGCCACACAGAGTGAATGTTGGGCCAGTAGTAGTCGGTTGTCAGTGCCCTGTTTGCAAGACTCTGCCCCCTAGCGTGATTGATGTTAGTGTATATTAGTGTATGCCCTAGAAACCATTCGTGTTGTTGGTTTCAGAGCATTTTGTCTTGTATCTATATATCATAAATAATAAAGAGCTCTTCAATTCATATATATAAATTGCTTTCTTTATTTAGTCATGCATTTAAAATAAAGTACGTATATGAATTGTCCAGATGATTCATTTAATCAGTAAATGAATTATCAAAAAGGTTCCCTACGGAAGCAATATAATTTGGGCAACTATATTGCATAGTATGCTTTTTTGATGTTTTCTAAAGATATCATGAGTTGATATAAGTATGGATTATTATGATAGTCATGTCACTAGGGCATTGGTATGGATTAGCAGTTGGTGAACTGTTTTTCGAACGTGACCAAATAATGACAAATCACTTGGAAAAGCATATAGTCAATGATTTATCGTTTGGTTATATCAGTGCACAATGTAGTCCTTTGATCTGAGACATTATAGTCGGATCTGATACTGATGTGTATAGTTCATACGGTGTATAAGTACGAGACTAATCATATTTTATATAATAAAGCCTATTTGGTCATGCGTTATTCATATGCGGAAACGAATGATGGTCAGGAGGGGATTCGTTGACTCGAAAATAAAGGATCAGGAGTACCACTGACTCCATCCGAATTCGAGTTCTTGGACGAACGTCAATAAATGTCAGAAATCGAAATCTCTAGCCAGAGTCTATTATTAGTCATACGAAAGCAAGTTCATGATGACAAGTTCTGGACATATTGATCGACGATTCGGTAGAAAATCGAGTTTAGGTTTTTGACGTTCCATGAATCCGTACTCGATCAGGATACATCAATGGAGGGACTTTACCTGCATGGTACATATGATCTAAAATGGGTTCGATGAAGTATTTCTTCATCGTGGTTTAGGGACTATGACACATTGCTAGATGTTTACCATAGTCATTGGGCCTTCGGACAGGTTTTTGGATTCATCCAGAACTAGCTCACAGCTAATCCACGGTGGACCTACATGGTCAAACCAATAGCCTTGAGAAGTTAGAGAAGGATAAGAGAGAGAAATGATTATCGTTTAGTTGGCAAGGCCCCACGGTGGGCACCAAATTGTAAATGCTAAAATTTACAATCGAGTTGAAGACTGAATCTTGTGAAGCAAGCCACTGACAACCTTGGTGGACCTGCGGGGTGCCTCCTAACGTCTCTCAGGAAGTCCAAGCAATGTCAGGTGATTGAGGTAGATTATGGGTTTGGTAATATGAGCAATAAGGTTTTCTGATGATCTTTTCTTCCTAATGGGTGGGCTAACCTTAGCTTATATAGTGAACCGCGGGGGCTCCAATCCTAGTAGGACTCTGAGTCCTATTGGGTAAGGGAACTCTCTTTTCGGAAAGAGATTGGATTCTTTGCCTCTATTTGTTGAGGCTTTGTCGGTAGAGGAGTTTGGTTAGGATTCTTATCCTCATTATGGATTGCTACGGGCGAATGGGTTGGACCAAGTTCAGCTTAACTCAGGGGATGGCCCAACTCATAGAGCAGGCAATTCCCAAGGTGTTCTAAGCGTGGGCCCAATCGGAATTAGGCCAAGGCTTTGGGCCGTCAGTCACTACTGTTGCAGTTGGACCTCGTCAAGTCCAATACGAATTTTGGCCCATACAGGGAGGCATGTGGATAAAAAGGTGAGGGAGAAAGTTAGGGGCCATTTTATAGATTTAGCAAAAATTTTCATGGGGAAGACTAAAATGGAGAAGTTTTGAGAATTGTAAAGAGTTAAGACTGAAGATGAAGATGAAGGTGGGTTTTTTCTTAGTGACCCAATTTTTCTACTAGACCGACAGTTCGACACTGTTTCGCTGGTCCAAATCTGGTCCAATCTAAGCCAAAGGTTATAAATGGTTTTGATTATGTCTTAGACCGGATAGAGGACCGATCGATGGTCCAACCGGTCCAACCGACATGACCGGTCCGATTTTTAAAACACTAGTTAACATTTGCATGTCTGACTCATTTTGCAAAAATATCTTTTTTCCACTACGTGTTGATATGTTTGATATATTTGTTTCCCTTGGTTGAGGACCACTCTACAAGTGTCCAAATATTCAGAGGTGGTCCAGGGAATTAATTTTTCCCTTATCAGATGTTGTCCTGAAAGTTTGGTAAAAAACTTTCTTCTTTTGGTATGTGTCAGCCTTGGTCTGCGTGGACAATGAATTGTTGAGCAAATATGTTCACACATCTATCTTCTATGCAAGCATCTGCATGTCTAACTCATTTTGCATATGTGTTATATTTCCATCATCTTTAGGATATTTTTCCTTATTTGATATTCATATGTATGGACAACTTACAGGTGTCCTAAAATCCACAAATGGGCAGTAGTCCCGAAAGTTTGGTGGAAAACTTTCCTCTTTTGGACACTTGGCAAGAATTGTTGAGCAAGAAATATCTCTATATCTTGAACTAACCTGGACATTTCATTTATTTGTGTGCTTTGAAATTCTTCAGAGAGTTTATCCTTGTTCATGTTCCATTTATGGTTTAATGCTTAAATCATTTTGTTCATCTTTGTTTATAGTTTGTTGTTGCTGGAACTTGGTTCTTATGTTAAGAGCTTGAAAGGAGTTCAAATCGTAGAAGTCGAAGGTGGTCTTCGGCTACCCAAGCTTAAGAGGTGTCTTGGAGAGAAGCTAGCTGTGGAACAACGAAGTTCAACCAAAGGCTGGAGTTGAAGCGTTGTGATAACAGGGAGTGTTATACAACTGATGCTTATCTTTAACTTTGTAATTAAACATGAATGCTTTTTATAGTGGATTAGCTTCAATCTGGATAAGGTCCTATGAATGTAGACTAAGAGAGGTTTTAGCCAAACCATATATATGCCTGTGTTCTTTATTTTTTATGCTCATGGATGTTGATTTAGTGCTTAACTTGGTAAACTCCTTCACAAATCAATTACGTTGTGCTTAAAAATGGGTATCTAACCTTAGACAAGAGTTCATTAACTCTTACAAGTTGTATCAAAGTTTGTTCTGAAAATTTATTTGAGTTGATCCTCACCCATTAGATTGTGTTTTGTGTTCTGGTTGTCTGCTTTCGCTGCACCTGATTGTGTTTTGTTAGTTTCGTAATTTGAACCTGATTTATTGTTGTGTTTCTGCTGTGTTCTGCATTTCCCGTGTGTCATATTCAATTAAACATCTACCAATTATATTAATTATAAAGATAAAAGAGAGAGGAAATTTTTTAGACGTATATAATTTAAAAAAATTTTTAAATAGTATGACCAATGTCATACTACATTAAATATTTAGGAAAGTTGACCCCTAGAGATAGAATTTATTCGGGATGTTTCTATCATAATTTACCATGAAAAAGCAAAATAAGAAACTAACCTTCACTAATCTTTCATTTCATTAATCAATAATACTACAAAATAAATTTGGGATTTCAATTTTATCATACCAATTTTTCATTACCAATCTTTTAAATAAGAAAACTAATAATATGTCCGAGGATTAAAGGGTGGTTGCGAATCAGGTTTGGTTCATACTACAATTTTTTAGGACTTTAGATGGGGACAAGAATAAAAAACTATTTTCAAATTGTTTTTGGAGTAGAAATGGAGATTACAATCCCCGTCCTCACCCCACCCGACACCCTCCACAAAAATTAGTAAATAAAATGAAATATCTAACTGTTCCATTGTTTTTTGTTTTTTAAATATTCTTCCTGGTTTTGTAAAATAAAGCTTGCATGAATCATGATTGTTCATTCATGTAATTTGATGAAAAATAAAGCTTCACACAATTTCTTGGAAGCCACCTGAAATTAAATGA